TATTACTTTTAGGCTTTTAAAATTTCCGTGAAGTGATATCTCTAGATTCCTAGTGAAACACGCTGAAAAATTTAACAATATCCACTTTTTTTTTTTAAGTTGACTCTGTAGTCCTCGTCATTAGGTTGATTTTTTTAAGTTGACTCTGTAGTCCTCATCATTAAGTTGACTTTGAACGTAATCTTGATTCAATATTATTCCATTTTTAAGATCACTTGTCTTTATTCAAAACACTTTGAATGAATTATTTTTTTCATAAAGTTAATGATACATTATTAAGGATATCATTAGAGCCCGGATTTTGATGACCTAAAAAGTCTCAACTAATGCCCTTAAAAAGTGCAAAAAATGCCCTCAAAAAGCGCGAAAAATGCCCTTAAAAATGCGATAAATGTGCTGAAAATGCCTTATGACATGACTTAAATAAAGAAAATTATTAAACTAAAACAATGTTTTACTCTTTAAAATTATTATGAGTCATTTCAAAAAATATAAAGCAATGCAATACTTGTTCTACGTTCATTAAAGTTTAAAAATATGTTTTACATCCTAAAATAACAAAAAAAGAGGAAAATATATTGACTCCAAAACATTTTCATTTTCTACAGAAACTTTAATGAATATAACAACTTCCATCTCATAATATTATTAAATATCAGAATTATATCAGAATTACATTGGATTATTAAATGTTTTTTGATATTTTAAAATGTAAACGAGCGTCTCTTGTCTTAAAGCAAATTTTTATTCCTGGAGAAGAAAATTTCCTAAAAAATTGTAATGTTCTAAACTACACAAAACAGAGAAAATGGGAAAGCTGTAGCAAGGAATTACTTCTAAAGATTTTATATCAATCAATAACATAGTAGAAAAACATAATGGCATGCAGGTGGTATTGAGAGCTACAATATGAAATTTAAAATTATAAGACAAATATTGCATTTCATGTAATAAAAATGCCCCAATAAATAATGAAAATAGGAAAAAATTAACAAAAAGCTTAAAAAATGCTTTAAAATGCAAAATACGGCCCAAAATTTAGAAAAAAAAATGCCCTATAAATCTTAAAAAATGCTCTAAAGGACAAAAAATGTCCAAAAATGCAACTGTTATCAAAATCCGGGCCTTAGATATCATGATATTAACATAACTTTTTATCAATACATTCCAATACTATTTATTGACGGGTTTACGACCATGAATGTTCAACGCCGTGACCTTATTATTTTGAACCCAATCCAGAAGACGAAGGAACTCCTGGAACATGCATAGGCAGAAAGTCGCCTTTTTGGAGGACTCTTTCTGATGGAATCCGCATTTGAGTTATGTGGAGAGGAAAACCTCCCATTGCAAGGGGACTTTCTTTCCTTCCAGACGCGTACCTAGGTTAGTAAAACCAGTATAATCCGCATCTGGCCACTATTCCAGCCAACCTCAACCCAGTGCTTGATCAGGTGGCAATTATTTAAAATTTCAAGAGATTACAATTTTGTTTACAGAAATATTCTTTTAAATTTAGTTTAAACAAGAATTTAGTTTATTAGTAAATATGACATAAAAAAGTGACAATAAATGAATTTTGAAAAGTAAATTATCAAATAAAAGGTTCTCCATTAAAATTTTAATTTCCAGGTATTAAATAATAAAATAAAGTAATCAAAACGTTACAATAATAAACAAAAAATTGAGTCACTAGTGCCGTATAAAACTGAGGATATTTTACGTCAGTACTGTGGTCAGTGCAAGTCAGATGCGGAGTTCGTATCGATCCGCCATCGCTGGGATTCGAACCTCAATTCTAGATTCCTANATTGAAAATTTTCAATTTAACACTTCATAAATCTATTGAGTGAAAAACTTTGTAATGTGTTTGAGTGCAGCTTGTTGCTTAAATTCATACGAAAACGGGAATCGAAAACGGGAACGAACCTCAATCCAATGGAGCGACTCATGTTATTTATTTCTTAAAATCGTATATTTAATAGTATTTTAAATGAATGAAATAGCAGCGTTCGGCAGCCAACACTCAAAATGCTTCGGATCCCCAATGATTCAGCGAATTAAAAATTAAATAAACTAAAAGAGATTTAAATTCCTGCTAAAATATTATGAAAGCGAACGTTAATAATAATAAAATAAAAAAACTTGAAATACGAAATTTTTGTAATTGAAATAATAAAGTAAACGTCTCCATTCATTCCCATACCAATAAATAGAATATGGGGCCGAATAGGAGAGGGGGGTCACATAATTAGGGAGAAATCCTTCATGGCAAATTCTCTTTCAAAATTAAGAGTTCAGAAGAATTGCTAGAAGAAAACAATCAAGCAATCAAAATGCAAACATATTATGATGACTCAGGAGAAGAGTTTTTCTTCCAATAATTTGATATTTTGAAAAAAGGAATCGGGACCTCCCATATGCATACACGTGACCTATGACGTCAGCAAAAGGGCGTATTAAAGTTCAGCTATGTTAGAATGCTAATAAACGATAAGTTCATTAAATACGTATCGAATGATTTGTTTCTCGACTACTTCTTTTACTTAACTGGGATTTATTATTGGCTTGCGTATTGCAGTGATATATTTTTGTTCTGCGGACACTCCGGTCCATCATTAGTTTTTATTTTATTTTATAACCGTCGTTGAACGGCAGACCCAATTTCATGGGTTTTACGACTACTTACGTTCAACTCCGTAGCCTTGTCATTTTGAACCCTATCCAGAAGACAAGGAAACTCCTGGATCAGTACCCCCAGAGGTATCGATTTGTTGTGGGAACATGGAGGACTTTGAGACTCGACAGATTTAACGTGCATCAGTCACCATTTACTACACGGGGAGTCTTCGGCCGCCGAGGATCGAACCCACGACCTCTTGGATATGGGCCCAGCGCCCTACCGACCAGGCTATCCCGGCCCTCCATCACTAGTTTGTTCCATATGACTTCGCACCCGTCTTAAGTTTCTGTGTTAAAGAAAATGAAGGAAATAAAAATGAAAATATGACCGCCGACGTCTTCAGGGGGTACCGGCCCCGATAGCCATAAAAACAAAACCATTTCTAATTGAGGGAGAAGCTTAAATTAACTCCCTCAGTACCCCCATGGTCTTGCATAGAAGTCCAGGAAAAAAAACATGCAATATAAATAATAAATTAAGAAAAGAAACTCAAACAAAATCATCAGAAAAATAAAAACTCACATAGTCACAGGTCAGACATCAATTTCTCAAGCAAGCCGAATGAAAAGAAAAAACTAAAACCTAAAGAAAACAACGCCCTCTATTACAATGCGCAAATGAAGAAGAAAAAAAGTGAAAAATGTCAAGAGAAAGAAATACGTAATAAATTAATAGAATGCTTAACTGGAGCTGCACAGTTAAGACTTGAATTGCGCCCTGTTAAAAGAAAAAAATATAAAAACCTAGAATTCTTCAATCATTTTTTTAATTAAAAAATTAACATTACAAAAATTAAAAGGAAAATAATTATTACTCTAATTATTTAAAGAACTATTCACAGCTTCCAGAAAACTTTCAACATTATTGCAAATACTTTTGATTCTAACTAATTGTGAAAAAACTAAATTTTAAAAAATTTTATTGCACAAATTAGTATTAAAGTGGCAGAAAAAAATAACTTTAAATTGAAAAGCTTTTCTTTTATCAAAGACACCAATTTTAATAAAGCTGTTAACAATATCAATTTTAAAATCTAAATATTCAACATTGAAACAATCTTCATTAGTTTTCTTCAAGACTAAATCTCCAGGACAAATACTATAAATAAAATTATAATTATCACAATTAAATAAAATCAAATCATCAATATATCTAAAAGCATTAAATTCATTATACTCAAGAAATTTAGCTTCAAAAAAATGCAAAAAAATGTTGGCAAAAGCCCCAGAAAAGGAATTACCTTGTGGAATTCCAATAATTTGTTTATAAAAATCTAAACCATTAAAAAGAACATTCTCAAAAAGATTAAACCTACATAAATCCAACCCATTAAACTTATCAATTTTCTCATTAAATAAATACCTATCATAAATTCCTTCACAAATCTCATTAATCTTTCCATGTGGAATACTGGTATACAAATTTTCGAAATTTAGAAATACAATTACGTCGGCTTCGGTGGTCATATTTCCATTTTTATTTCCTTCATTTTCTTTTTCTTTATTGCTACTTTTTTCTGAAATTTCTGCTGCTTTTTAGCGCATTTTTTTCAAAGAAGTTTTTTCTATTTAGAATGAAAAATATTTGTGTTTTCTTTTAGTATTGTGTTAATAGAGAGTGAGTGTTAAGTCTCTGTGTTAATACAGAGTGAGTGTTAAGTCTCTGTGTTAATAGAGAGTGAGTGTTAAGTCTCTGTGTTAATAGAGAGCGAGTGTTAAGTCTCTGTGTTAATAGAGAGTGAGTGTTAAGTATCTGTGTTAATAGAGAGTGAGTGTTAAGTCTCTGTGTTAATAGTGAGTGAATGTTAAGTCTCCGTGTTAATGTATAGTGAAGGAATTGAAATCTTTGTGAAAGAATATAGCGTGTGTTACTTAAGAGAATGGATACTTGAGAGGCTTAACTTGTTCGAAATAGAATGGAAAGAACAGTTTCTAACGTAAGCAAAAGGTTTCAAGCACCTCTCAGGATCGAGATAACCACACTATACGTCACTTGCGAGCATCCCGTTGACGTTACGTTCACCTGCGTCACCCTTTTTTCTAAAATTTAAAGGAGAATTCGCCACGTTATAGCGTCCTCTGTAACAGTCCATCAAGCAAATGAGGACCGTGTAGTAAATGGTGACTGATGCACGTTAAATCAGTCGAGTCGCAAAAGTCCTCCACGTTCCCCCATAACAAATCAATACATCTGGGGGATCTCTGATTCAGGTCGAAAATTAAGATCTGTGGATGCATGACTGGGTCCGCCCTATAAATGGGTCTGGCAGAAGTCGAATTCTTGGCCATAGATGGTGCCACTGAAAAACAAGATACACACACTCTGCCTTTCACCAAGCAGTCGTGTGGCATTAGAAACAACACAAACTACGCTCGTTCTTTTTCTCTATGAGGCGACTGCTGGGAATGATTTCTGCCCTTCTGAAGTACTTTTATCGGAGTTTGACTATTATGAATTGAAGGGGAAAAAAAGATGTGATCTACCTGTATCCTGTCTTCGGGAAGGTCAGTCTTTAGGGAGAGCATCTCCCTCGCATAGACATCCGGGTAGTGAGCGTCTTTAAAAGCCTTCTCCAGTTCCTCCAGCTGGTAACTCGTGAATATGGTCCTGCAAACAAACACAGAGTTATGACCTACGAAATATAAAATAAGTCCATTTAGTAAAAGCGTATTCTGATCGGTTCATTTCGACTTCAAGCTGATGCAACTCCGTTACAGCCTACCCAAGACAAAATTCTTGATAATACCTTCAAAGAGTTATGATGGTTAATGTTGGTTTAACCCCTTAACGATCGGTTAATTTTCAAGAAAACGGTCATAAAAGTGCCTATTTTGCCAAATACACGTATTTGATTAGTGCTGTCATCTAGTTTAAAATTAACTAACTATCTACAATTACCTTAAANAATAATTAATTAGTGTATTAAATATCAGATGAGTAAAGTGAGAAATAAAATGTTTTCCGGGCAAAAGAAATGAATTAGTTTTATTCTTATTGGTGCATTACTACTGATTCCAGCCCTGAAATGTCACGGGAGCGAGAAATAGAAGGCGAAACCTCACCCCGTCATTTTCACGGGAGCGAGAAGGAAGAGGTTAAGTAAGATTCCTGATGGACCAACATGTGTTGATGGTCACCATCCTACAACAGTTTCCATCTAGGTTGGATGGTTTTTGAAGGCCCAACAAGTTTCCATCATTACAATATGGAAAATGTTGCTTTATGTTATGATGGTAAACCATCGAGCATTGTTTGATTTTTGATGGACAAACATAAACTTTCATATTTTGATGGCAGATGTTGTTTTACCATTGAGATGGTCAGCCAACGAGTTATGTTATTTTAATGTTGGACCAACAGCAACCATCAAAATAGGATGGAAGATGCTGTATGGCTATTTTGATGGTCCACCAACAAGATTTGTTTGTTAATGTTGGACCAACAACAACCATTAAAATAGGATGGAAGATACTGTTTTACTATTATAATGGTTCAACCATCAAGTTATGTTTCGTGTTGCTGGACCAACAGCAATCATCAAATTAAGATGGAACATGCTGCTTTAGTACTATGGTGATTCAACCAATCATTCATTTCACAAAAGTTCGGTAAATAGGGAGCTAGTTATGGGTGCCTTGAATCCTCGCATGGTTTGAGTTTGGTACAATCTTTCATATGCTCTTTAAAAAAAAAACATTTTGCGAAGTGTCCATTCTTGTTAATACGCATTTTCGGCTGCTTCAATTTTATACAATACACATTTTGAGCGGTAAATATATAATTTGAGCTGTGTCCATTTTCATTCATGCGCATTTTCAGCTGCGTCCATTTTATACAAGACACATTTTGAGCTGTAAATATATAATTTGAGCTGTGTCCATTTTCGTTCATACGCATTTTCAGCTGCGTCCATTTTATTTAATACACATTTTGACAGGTAAATATATAATTTGAGCTGTGTCCATTTTCGTTCATACGGATTTTCAGCTGCGTCCATTTTATTCAATACACATTTTGATAGGTAAATGTATAATTTGAGCTGTGTCCATTTTCGTTCATACGCATTTTCGATTACGTCCATTTTATACAATACACATTTTGAGTGGTAAATATATAATTTGAGCTGCGTCCATTTTCGTTCATACGCATTTTCAGCTGCGTCTATTTTATACAATACACATTTTGAGCGGTAAATATATAATTTGAGCTGTGTCCATATTTTTTAAGCACGCATTTTCAGATATAATAAAAAAAAAGAAAGCTGGCATATGAGATGTTTCGTTACCGCAGTCAAGAATATTAAATATCTTTTATAGACTCAGGTTTTATGATGGTAATTGAACTAGGGATGAGTTTTCAAAATGGAACACATGTGAGGAAAAATTCATATCCGGTATGAATTCATATCCGGAATTCATATGCGACTCCCGTTCCAATCGATATACCTTATAATTGCTGTCAAATGTGTCACAAATTTACTCTCTCCCCTCCCTCCCTCTATTGACTCAAGGGGGGATAATTAAAATCGGGACAGAGAGTGTGCAAACAACCCCTCTCTTCCTTCCCCAGAAGTGGGGTTGGGGGTCAGGTCAACAACTGGACACATCTGATACACAAAAGGAAACGTTTCTTTTTTTTGTCTCGGAAGCTCGAACTTTATTTTGAATAACTGACCCATTTTTGGGTTTACAACTATTGATGTCTGTATTCTTGAAATATTGAACACGAAGGCACTTCTGATTCGAGCATTGGGGCACACTAGCTTTCGTGAGCCGCGATGGCTCTGGGGATAAAGCGTTCGCCTTTTGCGGTGAACCGAGTTCGAATCCCAGTCAATATCAATTCCGCATCCAGCTTGCACCGACCACAGTGCTGACGTGGAATATCCTTAGTGGTAGATGGATTTTGGTTTAGAGACCCTTTGCTGTCAGGCTAACCGTGAGGGATTTTCGAGGTTTTCTCCCCATGTAACCCAAATGTGGGTTAGTTCCATCAAAAAGTCCTCCACGTAGGCGAATTTCTCCCACTAGTTTATTCAGGAATTCCCTTGTCTTCTGGGGTCGGCTGTTCAACGACGGTTATATAAAAAAAAATAACAAAATCGTAGGTAAAGACCAATATTCAGTAAAATTCAACAGAAAAGCCGAAAATTGTTTGCCATTCATTTCCCTGCCTAAAAATTGAGCATATATATATATATATATATACTTACCTNGTCAAGAGATGGCCCTCACATTTTGTATTTTGTCATTTAAAATTACAATTTTAGAAATGATGAAAAAACTTGCGTACCTAACAATTTAAAAAATTTTTACAATTATTAAAAAAATAGAAAAAAATTGATAAATAATTTTTAAAAATTACTTTTTTACGCATGGATCTTAGGTAAAACGAATTTAATAATTAAGTTTTTTGATTCGTTTCAAAAGTTCTTAAGAGATGCGTCGATGCATGATAAAAAGTTCTTGAGAGACATGATTAACATCCAAACTTTCGACCGTTCACTTGATTGAACTGCTGGGATAGTACGTATTTACCAGATTGCGGATATTTTATAAATCAAGAATCCAAATCCATTAGAAAAATAAAAAATGGAGTATATTTATACAGGGGAAGTACTTTTTTGTGTTTGATTTCGTAACTTAAAATATCACTTATTGATTAGTACATTTGTGATCGCACCTTTGAACCTGTAGTGTGTCTACCACTACAAAAATACAATTCTTAACCCTATTCTAAGGAGGGGGAACCTTTCCACAGATGAAAGTTTTCATTGTCTACAACTTCTCTCCCCACATTGGTGACCCGGACATGAGGGGAAAACGCCTACCTTGACAGACACTCCCACTTCGATATGAACATACTTATCTTGGCAGTAACGACCACTTCGATCGGAATACGCCTACTTCGATGGATGATCCACATTGAACAGTTGACTCGCTACTTGTGACTGCGACATTATCCACCGCCTCGCGCTGTTGCTACTCAGTCTCGATCACGCACAACATTGGCCTGCATACACTCGACTGCGAATGGCAACACAGGAGCAACCACGACCATGAACTTAATACAGCTCTCACAATCAGCACACAAAAGTTCGGTGTCTTAATGCAACTCTCTCGGCTTCTCACAAAACAGTAATGAATCAACTAGTGGTATCTGTTCATCGAATTCTATCACAGATATAATTCTGGTGGGGGAGTACTGTAGTGTGTCTACCACTAAAAAATACAATTTCAATTCATTAGTATGTAAGACATGTTAACTCGATTCTATGCTGGGGCTACCTTTTCATAGGTTTGCGTTGTCTATAACTTCTCTTCCCACAAACCGCTAAGAGTGAGTCGTAAAACGTGAAAATCTGAGCATTCGATCAAAAGTGAAGTCTTTATTTTAAATTTTCCTTTTTATTTCGAGTACTGTACATAAATGTGCATAAACATAATAGCGTTAAAATGAGGAAATTCGAAATCAATATTCTTTAATACTGCATGGTCCTATATCACCCCTTAATATTGACCCATAATAATCATGTTGGATCAGGTATTATATTATCGGGTAATAGTGTACCCTACTAGATAATTATAGGCTTATTAGGGGGTACATAATGTGGGCCTATAAGTTACTATGTATGCATGCATATAACAGTGTGTTGAATAGCGTTACATTGAAGAAATTCGAAGACTGTATTAACACATTGCCCGATATCTTGCCTTAGTATTGACTCATAATATTCATATTGGACCAGGTATTATATTACCGGGTAATAATGGGGGAATACTAGAGGAAATAGTTATAGGCTAATTAGGGGGTACACAATATGACAATCAAGTTTATATATATATAATAGTGTGTTTATTAGCTTTAAAATGAGGAAATTCGAAGTCAATATTCTGTTTCAACACATTGCAAGATATCTTGCCTTAATATTGACCCATAATATTCATATTGGACCAGGTATTATATTACCGGATACTAGTGTACCCTACCAAGTTAAACAATTATAGGCATAATAGGGGGGTCACAAAACATGCCTTGTCAAAAAAAAAANAAAAAAATTAGGTTCAAAAAGCATGTTGTCATCTTAGAAGTAATTTCAGTCTTATAAAGTGAGGAGGGGGTGGTAATTTCGTGAGGTGAGAGAGAGGGGGGGGAGAGGAAATGAAGCAATCTTTTTCTCTATTGTAGTGAGATTCTATGGAGAAAGGAAAGTTTTAGCGAAATTGAAATCCCTTCAGACCATCAAAAATAAACCTACTTTTGTTAAGAAAAATACTTTCCAAATGATTAATATTAAACACACTATAGAGATAAGAAAACGACCCAAATAATAGCTATTATTATATTTCTCTCTCTCTCGCCTCTCGTGTTTGCACAATTCTCTGGGCATATCATCAATCTCTCTCTCTCTCTCAAACCTTGGAAGAGGGGATTTTTATGGCGAATTCTAATTAAAACAGCCCTAAATTTATCTCCCTTGCTTTTAAGAATAGAATAAAAGGGGGGAGGAGGAGGAAAAAGGAATATTCTTCGCGCTTCTTTAATTATTTTGCGAGAGAAAATGAAAAGATTATCAATTTACAGACAACAAAAAAAAAGAAAGAAAGTAATTTGGAGCTTATGAATTAAAAAGCATTAAGTGACATTTAATAACGTCTTCGTTGTTTAAAACTTGCGCTCGTTTTTAAGGTGAAGCGATTGAGTTTCGTTTTTTAAATGGTGCGTCGTGAAGGATGCCATTTTCAAGTTCAAGAAGGAAAAAAGAAATAAATTTATTCTTTGAATTATTTTTCTCGCGTTCGTCAAAGATTATAAACTATTATGTATAGCGCGGGGTACCACACTGAAAAACATTTGATTTTAAACTGGGTGCGTAGTGTTTTTAAAAAGTGCTTAAAGGTGCTTATTTTCGTTTTTTAAAAGCCTTTAAAGGTGCTTGGTGTTTTTAAAAAGTACTTAATTTTTTCCCGTTTCCAAAATTAGATTTTTCCTTTACTGTGTTGATTTTCGCTGCGAATTATGCAAAAAGTTACAGTTCACATTGTTCTATTAAACATTTTTCACAGTTAATCCAACCCCTAATCTATTCCGGCGTATTGTCAGTCCGTAGCGTATGAAAACGGCATTCATTTTACATAATTTAAAATTTCATGATTTTTGATAATTCGTCGCTTTGAAACTAAACCGTAGTAACTCAAAAAAAAGAAGAAAAAAAATCGAAAAATAAGATAGTATTAGAATCATTTTGTGTAAAAAAAAAAATCACCCTTTTAGAGAAACAACATGTTATTTTCATAAGTGTTATTTCATATTAATTTAGAGAGTAGATAAATCGTTATCGCATTGGTGTGAATCGCCTACTCGAAAAGTTAAAAATCGCTCTCCTGAAAAACTTGCTTCTTTGAGTTACCACAGTTTAGTTTCAAAGTGACGAATTGTCAAAAACAACGCCAAAAGGTTTTTTTTTTATGACATGACGGTTGAAACGCAATAAAACCATCAATTATCAAAAACTCTCCAACCCTGCCTAATTATGATATTTTTTTAAGTGCTTCAAAATATTTTTGAGTGCTTGAAAAGTGCTTAAAAGGTGCTTATTTTTTGTTGAATAATTTGGTTACGCACCCTGTTAAAAAAAAAAGTCATCATTTAAGTTTCGATCTCTCAGTCACTCTTCGATCCTTTTCGCTCAAATTTTTTATTCTGCTGCATAAAACTGCATTCTTTGCGACGACTTAAAAAAAAAATTTTTTTTTTATACCTTGCAGTTTGAAATTCTTCGACTATCAAAATAATGAATAAAAAATTAAAAATTATTTTTCGGGAAGAATTATCTTTAGATAAATTAATTTTACGGATTTTTGGGTTAGGATAAACGAATTTGGGATAATTGTAGCAAACATTTTATAACCGTGGTTGAACGGTCGACCCAATTTTATGGGTTTACGACTATTAAATTGAATCAGATGGCCTACCCCGTATTTCGAGGGTAAAAAAAGAAATTCGTATTAAAAAAAGAAAAGTATGTTTATTCAGAAAATGTACGTTATTTGTTACTGATTAACTGTCAACTGACCGCACAAACTGTTTGTGGTCATCCCCTCAAGCCACTCAGATTGAGTACTTGAAAATCCGATCATTGGATTTAGAAAGTGATGGAATGAGATATCTTACCGATGTCTCCGTTTTTTCTTTTTCTTTTTGTTCATGGCATTCATTTCATCTCCAAGGCCACCATTTTTTGAGAATTCTGTTCCTAAAACTAAAGAATGAAATAACAATAATTAGTATGAATTCATTCTTTTAATTACGCACATTGAAAATAAATGTTTGTTAAACGGATTGCATCATAGAGAAGTGACTCTTTTTAGTCACTTTTCTCTATGACTCTTCTCTATGACTCATGAGTCACTTCTCTATTACTCATGAGTCACTTATCTAAATTGACTTCTGTCACTTATACGGGTCTAAAATCTATTACTATCGACAAAATAATCGACGAATCTAATCTATCGACAAGAGTTTGGACACATGATTAAGGAGTTCGGTGAGTGAAACTGGTTATTTAATGATACTTTCTTTGCTTTGATCGACTTTATAAAATGTGTGACCCTAAAATGCATTTCTGTTTTTACACATGTTAATTCCTTAACGATCGGTTAATTTTCAAGAAAACGGCCATATTTTGCCAAATACACGAATTTGATCAGTGCTGACATCTGGTTTAAAATAAACTAACTATCTACAATTACCTTAAAAAATATCCTGGTACTGCCATCTGGTGTGTAAAAAGAGATATAAAATGTTTTCCGGGGCAAAATAAATGTATTAGTTTTATTCTTATTGGCGCTTTGCTACTGAACACTCCAGCCCGGAAATTTCACGGGAGCGAGAAATAGAGGGCGAAACCTCATCCCGTCATTTTCACGGGAGCGAGAAGGAAGGGGTTAAATACGTGTAGAGTGAGTGTTGATACATAAGAGGATTTGAATTACCTCAAGAGGCGGAGTATTATGAGTTGTATTTTAATGTATTGTTGTGTTCTATAGTGTATTTAGGTGTTAATAACATTCTGTCATTAACACCAAGTGTTGTTAGCATTAACGCTGTCATCTTTACGCATTGGAGAATTTCAAATCCTGCGGTATATTTCGCATGTAAATAAAGAAGGAAAAGCCATCCGTGCAGAAAGCAAAAATAAATGGGATGCGGGGAGGGGGTCACTGTCTGGTTTAATAAGCAAAACGCGCGTTCATTCAAAAAAATTAGAGCAGTATGAAAGACCTTAAGATGATTTAGACAATATATTTGAATATCTTATAGTATTAGTTAGGGCAAAAAATGTCCCTACTTGTCAAAAATATCAAAAAATGTCACTCCAGCATATTTTTGTTGAATAAATCTTTTCAAAAAAATTAATCAATCAGGCAACGTAAGGAACATTCAACGATGACTCACAAATATTTCTTTTTCCACGTATATTTGAAATAGTATCACAAAATGTTTCGACACAAGATGAAAAAATAACCATATAAGTTTGAAAAATCTTTCAAATAGCTCCAATACAGTCCAATCATCAAAATTCACGAAAAAATAAGTACATATATAGAACTAATATTAATGGTGGACAATTTGCAAATTTTTTATAATTTTTTAGATCTCTTGATTTTTTTGAAACTGGTTTTATATTAAAACATGGATGTCATATTTTCCTAAAATACGCATACTTGTTTAGAAATATCAATAAAAAATTTCTCGAAAAGAAAAAAAAAACTAATCCAGAAAAGAAATTAATACATACTTTAGAGCTAATATTAGAATGTATGCAAACTGTTATAATTTTTTTGTACTGTGGCCTAAATTTGAAACATTCATTTGGTTCAAAAGGGTGACATAATTTCAAAATAAAAAATACACATGTATTTCTGAAAGCATATTAAGAATACTTATAAATAGCGCTTAATCTGTCCAATATATGTAAAAGAGCTTTGCATAAATGGAACCAATATTAATGTAGCTATCTTTTATAATTTTTTAGATACTTTTTAAACTGGTTTCATTATCAAAATTTGTGCGTTATATATCTTTCAAAGCATGCTTAAAAATATTTATAGAAAATTTCTGAAAAAGAATGTAATTCAGTCCAATCTACAAAGAAAAGCGGTACATACATGGAACTAATATTAAGGTAGGCACTTTTTTATTTATTTTTATCGAAGCTAATTTTTTAAGTGTTTTTTAATCGTCGCTATCATTTGAAATCGGAATTGAATATTAAAATACGAATGTCCTATTTCCAAAAAGTTCTCATATATGATATATGTCAATAAATATTTATTGAACATTTCTAAAAAAAACTCTTATGTAGTTTAGTTTACCCAAAACTAAGTACATATTTAGAACAAATTACGGGCAGTAATAAATGGATACTTTAATTAGTTGGAAACAATTTCTAAATTCTTAAAAAGAATTTGCATCTTTCATTTGAAACAGATTTCATATTAAAATATGGGGATCATATTATAAAAATTTCTTATTTAGTCGAATATCTTTATTNTGGCCAAAGCAAGGGAGTCATATTTTTCAAAAAATTCCATATTTGTTTAGAAATATTTATTATACAAACATTTTAAAAAGCTCTTAATTTGCGCAATCCGCACATAAAGCATTGCATTTTTAGTGCTACAACATAGCATTAGGGTAGACGTTTTGAGGATTGTTTATTTTTTTATTATTGAGGATTATTAACTATTTTCACATTTATTGTCGCATTTATAGAACTTGTTTCCTATATAAATATGGGCGCAATATTTTTTGAAAACACTCTTTTGAAATACGTACAGAAAAAAATTTGAAAATCACGCATTTAGTCCAATTTACCCAAAAAAAACATTGCATAAATTGAGCTAATATTAGGGGGAGGAACTCTGTGAGTATTTTGTAATTTTTTTTATTTTTTCTATTTACTGCATTCATTTGAAGCTGGTTTCTTACCAAAGTAAGAGCGTATGTACCACTAGAGAAGTGTTTCCCATACTTATGACTTTTGTGTACCACTAAGAAAGAAATGACCGCATTTTTTACGATAAAAAAAATTGCACAAAAGTTAAAAATCGCAACTGGCACTTGACACCACTAATTAACTGTTAACTCTGCAAAAAATAGTCAATAGAAAATACGTTATCGTAAATTTTCATGGCTGGTTTTGTTTTTAAATTAAATATTTTTGAAATTTTCGTTTGTTGCAAGATATTTCGCATAAGAAAGCGTACCCCCTCTAAACTGTTTCCATACCTCTGGAGGTACGCGTACCAAACTTTGGGAAACACTGCACTAGGGGTATGGTTATTTCGTGGTGGTTCTTAAAATGTTGCCAAAATTACCAAAAATTCTAAAAGTTTTAGTTTTTAAAATTCTGAAAGCTACCCCTCTACAAAATATTTTGCAAAAAGCACTGTAAATGGAGAACCTGCTATGACCCAAATGTTTTTTTTTCTTTTTTTTTAACTAAAGTTCATAAACTAATCGTTATCCTTTGTTGTTTTGAGAATGAAATACAGTCGGACTTCTATTTAACGAACTTCCATTTCGGCGAATTTCTCCATTTTGCGAGTTTTTTCGAGGAACCAAGAACATTTTGGAAATTTCTTTGTAAAATAACTTCCAAATAGCGAAGTGAATTTTTTATTTAACGAATTTTTCCTTGAGATCCGCTCTCCCTATTTCCCAAAATATTTCAAAACATTTTAAACTTGTTAATGAACTTTATGAGGGAAATGCCCTTGAATTGATTTCAGAAGCCACTTAACTCTTAGAAAAAGTAGTAAAATCCCTTACCCCCCCCCCTTTTTTTTTTTTTTTTTTTAAAAANAATTCCTTTTTTGTTTGCATTTCAAACGAAAAACTCAAATAAAATTAACGGATTTTATCAGTAGCCATTAAACTTAAGAACGCATGTGGTAATGCATGTTTAAAATTACTTTTATAATAAGTGCAGCTATAATATTATGCATAAATTTAGCTTTATTTTAGCTGAAAATGTATGTAGCATGATAGTGTAACACTGGATAATGTTTTGCTTTATTCTTGCTTTCTATGCAGATTTCTTTTAGATTTATAAAAAAAATAGTAGATACTAATTTGCGAGATAAAGGTGCAGTAATTCGTAAAATAACTTGCTATTTTAATTATGTCTAATATTTATGAATTTAAAACCTGTTTCGTGTCGTTTAAGCATTTTAAAAGGTGATTTTTCTATTTAGCGAATTTTCCATATAACGAACTTATTATCGGGATTTAGCGACTTCGTTCAATAGAGGTCCGACTATATTTTCATTCTCTCTTATTGTTTTATTATTATTAGAGTGTATTTCGTTATGCGAAAGAAAATGACTTTTAACCTCTAAAACGAGAGTCTAGAAAATATGATCCAAAAGAAGAGAAAAGGGGTCCATAAATTGTGCCCCTTCATAAGTCCCCGCATTCCTCGCCTGCCAAAAATGAAGCTCTGACTTCCCCCCCTCTCCCGAAATTACAACCATGGAATTCTCGGGAGGTTGCCATAAAATTCACACCTCTTTCTAACTTGGCGTCCGTTCGTGAAAATCAATTCCTTCTCAAATGATCTTTAATAAAAGGGGTTATTACGAGGAAGCTCCCAATAACTCACCAAATAATTTGCACTGAAAACATTTAAAAAGTTATTTTTATTGAATATTCTCCATTCACTCGTGCTTTTAAGAATACGTTCGACATAATTAAACTGGTGTAAAATTTTAAGGAGAAAGAAAATCTTCAAGATGAAATTTGCATTTTTTTAAATATTCTCTATTCACTCATGCGTTTAAGAATGCGCTCGACATAATTCAGTTGCTCTAAAATTTTAAAAAAGAAAATCTTGAAGTTGAAATTTACATTATTTTAAATATTCTCTATTCACTCATGCTTTTAAGAATGCGTTCGACATAATTAAACTGGTCTAAAAATTAAAAAAAGAAAATCTTCATGTTTAAATTTAATTTTTTTTTTTTTAATATTCTCTATTCACTCATGCCTTTAAGAATGCTCTCGACATAATTCAGTTGCTCTAAAATTTAAAAAAAAGAAAATCTTCAAGTTGAAATTTACATTATTTTGAATATTCTCTATTCACTCATGCTTTTAAGAATGCGCTCGACATAATTCAATTGCTCTAAAATTTCAAAAAAGAAAATATTTGAGTTGAAATTTACTAATGGATTGATAAACAACTTCTTATATCACCAACTTTTGAAACTCTTTCAAAAACTCTTTCAAAAAATAATTAATTTTTTTAAAGCGTGCTTGTTTGACATCACAACATCATAAGTACATTTCTTT